CCGCGGGCCCGGAAAGGCGGCCCGGGTGCGCCCAGAGGCCGGATTGGCCCCGCGGCGGCGGTTTGGGGCAAAGGCCTGAGCCCGCCCGCTGGGCAGGGCATCGGGCTGGACCCCGCCCCCGACCCCAGTCCAGACCCGCGCGGGGAAGGCCGGGCGCTCCGGGAAGGGGGCGCTGGTCTAATCGCTACTCTTCCCCCCCCTTCCCACACTCCCAAGACCCGAAGTTTACTTTCTGCGAGGGGGACAGGTGACTGACTGGTCACTGACCATCCCACCCTCCAGGCTGCTGGCGGCAGAGCCAGAGCTAGATCCGGCTGTCCCAGCCTGTCCCGAGTTCTCTCCCGGCGCCAGGCTGGTACAGCGGCCTGGAAAGGGTTAAGTCGACTGCAAGGAATTAAGAGCTGCTGGGAGCTCTCTATAAATACAGTGTCGTGGGCGCCTGAGCCAACCGCAGGGTAATTTCCACTGAGCTGGTTTTCCTCTTTTCCTTCCACCCACGGCCACCCGGCCAGCCCTGCCCCCAGCACCATCAGACTGCTGGCCAGACCAGGCTCCAAAAGGGGGAGCAGCTCTGACCCCCGTGGCCTTGAGCTCTTTCCTAACAGGACCCAGCTCCACCCTGGGAGGTGACGGCGGTCAGACTTGGACCTCCGGGCTGGGAAGAGGTGGGGGTCAGGGCTTTGCCTTGGCACCTCTGGCCCCTGCACCTGTTCTCTGACCTGTTCTTCCTCTATTACAGATAGTCACAGCTAAAGTGTAGCAGGCTTCTGTGGGCCGGGGTCTAGACTAGGAGCTTTCCATGCTGGGCCTCTTTAGATCCTTGCAACAGCCCCCTCAGGTAGATAATATTATCCCCATTTTGCGGATGAGAAAACCAAGGCTCAGAGGGATGAAGGGACTCTAACCTTGTGCATTTGCCAGGCCCACCACCAAGTGGCAGCAGCAGGATGGGAGAGGGTTTAGGAAATAAGTATGAATACATGTGTGTCTGCAGATATCAGCCACTGTTTTAAGCTCTTTACCATTTTATCTCATTTAATCTTCACAACAACTCAGTAAGGTGAATGCCATTATCTTTATTTTTACAAATAAGGAAATTGAGACACAAAGAGATCAAGTAACTTACTTGAGGATATAAAACTATTAAGTGGAGGAACCAGGATTTGCTCCCTTGAATTTAAGTGCTGAATTCAAACTTAACTGTGGGGGGTGTGTGTGTGTGGCAGTGGTGCGTGGGTATGTGTTATTTGTGAACACATGTGACCAACTCTGTTTGAGTCTATGTACACGTGTTTCTGAATATAAGTTTAATAGCGGCTACGTCTATGTGACTGCTCCTAGGGATAGGGACAGAGAGGAAGGGATCAAGGCCAGGCCATCTGGTCCAGAGTCCCTGGAGGTCATCAGTCCCCACCAATCCACACTATTCCCCCTTGCACTGTCAGGCCCTGTCCAGCCTGAGACTCACAGATCTCAGGATGAGTAGCCCCCACTAGGCCCACAACCTGGGGGAGAAGCATTCCAGGGAGAGGTGTCCCTGGGGTGAGAGAGCCTGGAGTCCTGCAGCAGGACCCTGGAGGTGGCATTTGAACTAATCTGAGGAATTTACTTTCCTTCCCTTCACCAAGAGTCAGTCCTCTGCTTTGTGCCCTGCGATGGTGACGTAGGTCCTGTCCCAGAGGACTTACAGTCTAGCAGGGAAGGCACCACTCAGCAGTGATAGACAGTGAAGGAACAGCACAGGGCAGTTTACAGGGGGGCAGTGGGGGGAGATTTTTATCATAATTTTTCAAGGGAAAAATGGAGGGAAGGAAATGAGTATTAGCTCTCATTCCTGGAAGCAGTGGCTTTCTTTCACCCAGAAAGAGCAAACAGCCAGAGCAGGGGATAGACAGCATGTCTGCAGGACAGGCTCAGCCGAGACTCAGACTCCTGGCCCCGGACACAAATAGCTAGAGTGACCGTCACAGCAGTCAGGAACCTCCTCAGTTCAGAGAATGTTTGTCCTACACCAAGTTGAAACTATATTCTTTCTCAGGTTCCCTTGCAGCTAGAGGTGGTCACATGACCCAATGAGATGGAAGTGAAAGTCACTGATGGGGGCTTTGGGGAAAACTCGTTAAAGGAGCAGGCTTATACCATGGAAAACATGGTGGTTCCTCAAAAAATTAAAAATAGGGGCCGGCCCAGCAGCTTAGCGGTGAAGTGCGCACGCTCTGCTACTGGCAGCCCCGGGTTCGGATCCCGGGCGCGCACCGACACACCGCTTCTCTGGCCATACTGAGGCCACGTCCCACATACAGCAACTAGAAGGATGTGCAACTCTGACGTACAACTATCTACTGGGGCTTTGGGGGAAAGAAAGGAGGAGGATTGGCAATAGATGTTAGCTCAGAGCCGGTCTTCCTCAGCAAAAGGAGGAGGATTAGCATGGATGTTAGCTCAGGGCTGATCTTCCTCACAAAAAAAAAATAGATTTACTATATCATCCAACAATCCCACCTCTGGGTATATACCCAAAGAATTGAAAGCAGGGTCCCAAAGAGATATTTTTACACCCATGTCCATAGCAGCATTATTTGCAATAACCAAAAGGTGGAAGCAACCCAAGTGTCCATCAGTGGATGAATGGATAAACAGAATGTAGTATATACATACAATGGAATATTATTTAACCTTAAAAAGGAAATTCTGACACATGCTATGACATGGATGAACCTTGAGAACATTATGCTAAGTGAACTAAGCCAGTCACAAAAAGACAAATACTGTATGATTCCATGATTCTACTTATATAAAATATCTAGAGTAGTCAAACGTGTAGAGACGAAAAGTAGAATTGTGGTTGCCAGGGGCTAGGGGGAAGGGCGTGGAGAATTGTTGCCTAATGGATACAGAATTTCAGTTTTGCAAGATGAACAGTTCTGGAGATTGGCTGCACAACAATGTGAATATACTTAACACTACTGAACTG